CCCTAACCCCCTCCTATCTATCTATCCCACTCCACCCCTCCTCTCTCTCTCTCTCCCTCTCCCCATCCACCCCCTCTCTCTATCTCTCTCTCTCCCTCTCCCCATCCACCCCCCCCCATCCACCCCCCTCTATCTATCTATCTAAATTTTAATAGATAATATCAATGTTTATTTTTAAGCTTTTTTATTTTTATCAATTTAAATTTTCACAGTTATGGGAAATTATCGAGGAGGGGCAGACAATTATTTAACGACAGATGTTGAGATTCAAAAAGTTAGTTTATTTATCATTAAAACACAAATTGTCAACATCACATGTCAAAGCATAAAAAATAAATATCCTTAAATCAAACTCTAAGTTCTCAAGCAGCATTTTTCTTACCTTGCCTACCTGTACATTTCAACTATTATTTATAAAACTATATTTTGTCTGTATGATGACATTGATGTTTACAAACATTTACCAACAACAAAATCTCATCCTTCCTAGCCTATTACACACCGGGTCAGGCAGCATGGCAGAAAAGTTGCTGTGTGAACACACACTGAACCCTGGAGTTTGTAACTAACTAGTTAAGGTGACTGTCCCTTTAATAATCAGTTTCTAAATCAGGGTTAGCAGAGAGTTGCCTGAGGTGCTGATACTTCCTGCAAGACAGTCCAAGTCTCTGCACAGACATCAGCCTCTCTGATCTCCTGTACACTGGTATAAATCAGAACTAACTGCAAATGACTCTCTTGTTTCCATTCCAACTCGGAATTCTCTCCAGGAGGAACATGTTTTATTTTGTTAATAGAATTATGTGTAGCATTTTTTCAATGCCATTATGTATCACTAACATTCAGTGTTGCCAATTCTTGATTCTATCATGAGTTTTGTAACAACTGATGTGTTTCTTAAAGCCCCAGCTCCTGGAGTCAAGAGGATACATGACAATCTCAGTTTCATTAAACAGGTTTCAGAGTGGTAGCCATGTTAGTCTCTATCAGCAAAAACAACGAGGAGTCCTTGTGGCACCTTGGAGACTAACACATTTATTTGGGCATAAGCTTTCGTGGCCTAAAACCTACTTCATCGGATGCATGGAGTGGAACATACAATATCAGGTATATATACACAGCACATGACCAGATGGGAGTTGCCTTACCAAGTGGAGGGTCAGTGCTAACGAGCCAATTCAATTAAAGTGGAAGTGGGCTGTTCTCAACAGTCGAATACCAAGCAAGGAAAAATCACTATTGTAGTGCTAATGAGGGTGGCACATTTCAAACAGTTGACAAGAAGGTGTGAGTAACCATAGGGGGAAATTAGTTTTTGTAATGACCCATCCATTCCCAGTCTTTATTCAGGCCTAACTTGATGGTGTCCAGTTTGCAAATTAATTCCAGTTCTGCAGTTTCTCGTTTGGAGTCTGTTTTTGAAGGCTTTCCTCATCCGAAAGTTCTGCAGCCACTGCTTGTCATCCCAGACGTGCATGACGATGAGACCCCACCACTCAGTGCTTGTTTCCCGAGCCCAAAAGCAGCGTTCCACTGTGGTCTGCACCTCCATGAATGCCACAAGCAATCTTGTGTCATAGCTACTACACATGGCAAGATCAATGTCGCACTCCTCTTTCCTTTGTAGTTTAAGGAATAACTCCACTGCCACTTGTGACGTGTTGATCAGTGAGAGCAGCATATTGGTCAACAGCTCGGGATCCATTCCTGCAGCCAGACAGAGGCAGGACAGGGCGTGCAGTACACAAACCATTGAAAAAAGCAACAGAGGGTCCTGTGGCACCTTTAAGACTAACAGAAGTATTGGGAGCATAAGCTTTCGTGGGTAAGAACCTCACTTCTTCAGATGCAAGAAGTGAGGTTCTTACCCACGAAAGCTTATGCTCCCAGTACTTCTGTTAGTCTCAAAGGTGCCACAGGACCCTCTGTTGCTTTTTACAGATTCAGACTAACACGGCTACCCCTCTGATACTTGAAACCATTGAAAGATGACGCCAAATGCGGATGGAAGCACACGGATTGCTGGGATACGAAGCAATGCATCACGGGGCATTGGGATAGGACCCAGAATGCCCCATGACCCCCACCGTCTTCCCACAAGTCTTAGCGGCAAAAAAGAAAGAGGTGCTCTGTGGGATAGCTGCCCAGAGTGCACCGCTCTGAATAGCATCGCAAGTGTGAACACGCTATTGCACAGGCAGCTGTCAGTGTGAACACACAACGGCGGTTTCCCTTTGGTGCTCTCTGAGGGCGGGCACGGAGCTGCTCGGTTTGAAGAGCTAGTATCACCTGGAGCGTGTCCACTTGGCACTCCATAAGTGTTAAGAGCCGCTCTGTGGCTTCTTTCTGGTGTGCCGCATTCTCCTTTCATTCCCTCTTCTCGCTGTCCCGCCACTCCTTCAATTCCTGTTTCTCAGTGGCCGAGTGCATCATAACCCCACGGAGAAAGTCCTCCTTAGTAGTTCTTAGATGCTTTCTAATTCTGTGCAGCCGTTCTGCTGTCGATAAGGGAGACTGGGCTCCCAAGGTCATCTCCATGAAGGTTAAATGATACATTTTACAGAAGCAGTATTGTTTGCAACACAGACAACACCGATTCAGTGCTTTAAAGCACAGCCAGTACTCACACACCTGTCACTAACTGGCTGACCCCAGGCAATCACACATGAGCCGCAAGCCCCCCAAAATGGTGAGTAGCCACAGGGGCAGGGGAAATCAGTGTTCCCAGACCCTGCTGTACACTGGGCACATGGCTGTTGGGAAGAGCCAGCACTGTAGGGGGGGGTTGATAATCATTCCTGTCCCCCCACTTTCCACAGGCTGTGTTCATTATGGAAGATATCTCACTGCTGAGGGTGAGCAGGGAATCAAGGGAGGGTTTTCTCCAAGCCTGCGGCTTCTGCCCTGGCCCTTATGCGGCTCGCCTGTGTGCAGCTATGGGCCCCGCCCCCCGTCACGGCAAAGTGGCGTGGGAAAGTTACCGTTAATGAGGCAAGAAACAAAGCAGCTCTACCAAGGAACCCATGGCAGCGGATTGCCCAGTATCTCCACGAGAGTTTCCTGGAGATCTGAGGGAGATTCCCGTGAAGTGAGGTA